TTTAGTTCATGAAATCATTGGCATTTAGTTATAGCTAGAAACTCCTAAGAAGCTTTATATTCATAAGTACCTATCTATGTTAATCCCAGTCGCTCTCACTTTAAAAARTGGGTAAGGATGCTCGACAAACTGTTTTGAAAATAACCCGAAAAGGTACCCTCTACACATTTAACTGACTTCATCAGATCATGCAAGATACTGCCATACTTCATTTTTGTYAATTGACTTAAATTGAATTGAAAAGACGGCTTTGCTATCCGGACAAGTTTCAAAAGCATAAATATTGTATTACATTCTCAATTTATTCTAAATCTCCTGTGTCAAAAGTTTGAAAGCTGACCATAAAAAGTTCTGTCTGAGGTGATGGTACGAAAAAACATATGAAGTACTTTCATCGGACACTCCTGAGGACTGGGTATCAATAACGATTTTTTTTAGTGATCCTGTTCACTGGGCTAAGGGACAACGCTGAAACAATTAGCCAAAACCTGGACCCTCTTTAGAGGGGTTGCAGTTGATAGTGAATGAGGTTACCCACCACGTCAGACCAATATCATAGACATCGCCCTCAAATATCTTTCAAAATATACTTATAAATGCTTCAAYGAATTAGTGTCATGCAACGCAGTGCTTATTTTATCGGGAATCAAAGGACCAATTGAAATTGAAATCTCCCGATTACAGGTTAACATGATTTTACTTTTGATCATATTGTTTACATACCTCTTGATCCTGGCAGACCATTTTTACCATCTCTTCCTGGTAAACCATTTCCATCCTTCCCAGGTGCACCATCCTTGCCATCTTTACCTGTTTAATGATATGAAGTGTTTCATTGGTACCAGCCAGACTGCCAATAGGCGTCATAAGTGAAATACGTCTAGCCACTAATACTAAATACATAATGCTAATAAATATAATCAAAATAAACAGTAACTATTGGTGTCTATTTACTGACTTATGTAGATATCACTGAACCAGAACAATTCATGAAAACAAAAGGCAATACACTACACAAGAGACTTGACAACTGAAAATCTTTATTTCATGTGAAGGCAATCACAGCAGTTTTTATTTAGTTTTAAAATGTAATGTAATCAACTTTCTTTTATTTCATATGTATAAACATAGTGCAATTTTTTTATGCCCTTTCAATAAACGTGATGATTTACCATGAATCCTAAATTTAGGCCCGTCCCAACATCTTTCCTCTGCGTTTAAAGTGCTTGTGTACCACACTTTTTCACATTTTGGACAGAAACTATAATCTATTCTTAAGGTGTTGGTGTAATTTTCTTTCGAATCTGACACGTCTTTCTGTATTTTTGTTTCGGGCCTCAAACGTTCGAAATAATGGCTCCCTGTGTAATTGACTTCGAGCAATAAAGCGAGTTGGTACTGAGAAATGCCTGACGTCACGGTAGTAAGCGATAAAAGCGCCAAACTTGATTTCTCTTAGCTTTCTGTTAGTATGCATTATATGTATATGCGCTTTCAATAAAGCTGACACAAAACAACATTTTTCCACAGAAAACATACAATGCACAAGAGACATCTTGAAAGCCGTCACTACGATGACGTCACTGGTCACAGGCTCCCAGGAGCTCGGCTAGAGCACTCTTTGTGTTTTTTTTTCTTCGGCGCCCGAAAAAAAAAAGGCACAACACTATAAGAATAGATTATTGAATCTTCTGTCCAAAATGTAAAAAATTATGGTTCACAAGCACTTTAATAAAGAACTATACCATTTCTTTGGTTCTTTCTTGTGGTTAGTCAGTAAATAAAAACTAATAGTTGCTACTTCTTAGCCTGTGTACATCCGTTTCTCACCCCTCAAAAAATCGGGGAGAGAACGTCTGTGATTTGCCGTTGCTAATCGTGTTCCGAGGTCACGTAGAGTTCCTCAAGATTTTGAGGAAGAATTTGATTGGCTGTTGTATTTCAAGACTTGTGATTGGCCAAAATCAATAGATGGCGTGTAAAGTTGGTCACACGAGTGAAATATAAGCCTTCATGGTAAACCACTGGAACATGTAGAATGCTTCAAATTGAATATGTTATTTGCTCTCAAATTCTCTGTAAAAGTTTAGGCTTTAATCTTATATTCGGTCAGGGTAAATTTAAAATTGATGTGGAATTATAATGTCATTAGAATTCGCCGCCAATCTTCACGAACAAAACTTGCATTTGTCAGAAGTGCTAAAGAAGATAAGGGGGCTTAATAGTTTTTATTCTACATCTCATAATAGCCTGCGAAAGCGCCAGAGTTACAGCTTCAAAACTGCCGAGGACAACGTAATCTTCACAAGAAGATATTAGTACGGTTGATGGAAGTCATTGTATGACGCAAATTACAGGAAAACCACATTCTGACGAGACACCTACTACCGAAGATAGAGAGAGCACGGCATAGACCAATGGGCAGAAACAATAATTTAAACCACGGTCGAAGTTAGAATTGAATGGCTGAAACAAAAACAAGGCATTATGTTCGAATTATGTTGCGGAACGGTCCATTGTTTACTTGACCTTTTAACGTGCCTGCTCAAGCTCTAACGTGCATGTYRCATTATAWATGCAAATTTAKGTCARAACACGATTAGCAACGGCAAATCACAGACGTTCTCTCCCCGATTTTTTGAGAGGTGAGAAACGGATGTACACAGGCTACTACTTCTTTGATTGTTTCACGGTACAAGTGCGTTAGCTCTACTAACAACGCAAAAGATCTTATACTCTTTTATGTAACAATTYAAATTACCTGGTTTACCCGGTGCTCCGTCCTTACAAATTCCTAAAAAAATTAAGATACAATTTCACGTTAATACGTTGATAAAATATCAAATGAAACAAAATTTGTAATGCAAAAGCTTGCGTGTATACGTCATTGAGAAAAGAGAGTAAAGTGCTGGACCATAATGAGGCCAGATGTATGAAGTATGAATCGATTTATTAGCTACAGTACGTAGATCTTATATG